TAATCTCCTTGCAAATTTTTCACTTGCTATTCCTCCTCTCCTCAAGCAGAATGCCGCCTCTTAGGAGGACAAACAGGCGTTACCAGTTTTGGCAAGCAGAGCAGTGCTAAGACCTGTTAGGTCAACACTTTTTTTTTACAAAGCTCTAGAAAATAAGCACACTGAGAGAATGTAAGTTGAACCTTTTGCCATCAAGCAGTTGGTTCCTTGCAAATTCACTTTCTTCCCTTCAGTCTGGTTTGCCTTGCAGACGTGCTATTGTTTACGTCAGCCTTTATCATGCGGGACGAGACGGTACCGCTTTCGTGGTCTCATGACGCGATCACTTTTGCCTATCAGACGAACAGTTCAAGGGGAGCTTTTCACTCCAACCACTAAGAGAAGGTATCACACCGAAGGCGAAGCAATGCGTGGCTTCAGTGGCATGACATTTTAACTTTTTCTGCTGCAGCTTCCAATGCTGTTCAATTACATCCAGCTCGGTTAATCACTTGAAATGAGTGAAAAGTGGAGGGCAGATGGTCCATCATTGGTGGAGTTGTCGGAAGGCGCTTGTTAATTCGTAGAACGGATGTATTGAAAAGTCTTGCTGGAGTCCTGTCGTCTCATTGGTGCAGCTGGATGGGGTGGAGTTCAAGCATCACCAACGAGGCGCTCTCCAGACTAGTTGTGGCGCTGCGTCCTAAAAGAGGAAGGCTCTGTTGATCCCAGTGGAGGAGCATGCAGGGACGCATTCGCCTTTTACACGACAGAGCTCAAACCAAACCACTCTGTCAACACGTGCTCGGAAGCACAATGTGAATGACAGAACAAGTAGTTTACGACTAAATCAAGGCCGAGTGGTGAAGTCACCAAACGAGATCATCACATAAAGTCACTCCACTTCCACAAGTGGATTGCATATTTGCAGACAGTCTCAAGTTACTATCTCTTTATTACATCCCTTCTTGACGTGCTATTTCACGACACGTGGTCACCGCACTTTCCTCCTTCTCTGGTTCAACAAATGAAAGCGCTGTTGATTACTTCCAACCCGCCCACCACGCCCACATGTCACTACTGCACATCCACATGCGCGTCTGCGTGGAGTGTGTTTCGTGCTGCCGAATGCAGATAAACCGTTCAATGGGAGCCATTAATTTACCAAAGTCTGAACGCCAACGTTCAGGAAGGCCCAACTGTCTGATTGCCTGTCATTGATTGGCATCTCCGTGAGGGACCATTTGAACAAATTGGGAAAGAGGGCGTGGGAGTCAAGGTGGAAACATATTTCTGATCGTCAAGATGCTGAATTTTTACCAATTATGAGGCTATCTTCACCAATTAATTTATCCTTTGCAGAACTCAGTGATTGGAATGCAGGACTGGCACCCCTCTGTAACGAATCCTTTAATTCCTTCCTCCAATGAGGGCAACCAAATAGCTCCTTTGAACACGGAATTTTGTGCGCCAAATTTCAAATTGCGATCTTAGGTAGCAAATGACAAGAAATTGGGAGTGCTGTCTTGGGTGCTAGCCTTATGAAACCTTGCTTCCGTTTGAGAGCGAAGGTGCATCGAGTGGTGTCTGGTCTCCGGGGCAAGAATTAATTCCACCCAACTGATCGTCACCATTCCTTCACACAAAGTGCGCATCCAGACTGTGCGTGGTATCGCGGCAATTAAGTGGCGTTTCTTGACTAATTGTGGATTAGTAAGTAGTGTGGGTGTGGTGGGCGGTTAAGTGGGTAGGTAAAATGGCGTCGCGTTAATCAATGGCCCCGGCCTTTGTTGGAGAAGGCCTTAGCAAAGTGGAAGTACCACATCTCAACAGTCAACAAGAGACGGGAGAGGAAATACTTTGGAATCCTCCAGTCTTATTGTCACCTGTGAGAGCGTAGCGTGGTGATCAGGTCGGGTGGTCTCTAATGTTGCTTTCCTGTTCCCTCCTTCCAACGCTAGAAACTCTTCTTTCAATGACTTGCATCGGACACGGAGTTGGTTGGTGATACAGACTCAAAATGAAGTGCATTTCTACACGACATCTATAAGCTAAAGAGTAATTTACTATTCTGTTTGATTGACTCTACATCGTTCGAAATGGGGATCCCATCCGATGGGAGGGCAGTGGAGAGCGCAAAGCGACCCAAGCAAGTCAAATAGAGGCGGCAGAGGGACAGATTTGCATTTAAACCCTCCAACATATGCACTTTGCAATTGACATTCGACAACTCCTTCAAAAAAACTCCGCCAACAATTTTGACTGGCTACTTATTTACGTGAACAAACGCCGTCACTTTTTGTCAACTCTTGCGTCATTTCACTGTTTACGCCTTGTGTTTGCTCCCATAGAGTGCCCTTTTGGCTCTATCAAATGGGATCCAATTAAGGCCGTTGCTCTCATAAAACCGTGACTCCGCCTCCCTCCAAGCGATTCCACAACACCACACCCTCCAGTCATTAATTGTTGAACAGAAGGTGGAAAACAAAACCCAACTCATGAAAGGCGGCTTTCCACTAGTGCCCCTTAGTCTCCACAAGCCTTGATGCGCTACATCATTCCCCTCCTCTAATCGCTGGGTGCGGCTGCCTTTATCTTAAACTTGTGTAAACAAAAAAAGTGAAAAATTTATGGTCAGCTATTTTTAAATAGGAGGGCGAATGAAGGTCGGTTTACTCGCAGATTACTTTGGTCAGGTTGCCTCATCTAATGGATGGCCACGCTGCTCTCGGTGGACGACAAAGCAAAAGAAAACTAAAATTCAGTTGTGTGCCACAGTCTGAGGGAGCCAAAGTACCCCACCAAAGAGCAAATAACAGAGTACAACCAAGGTGGAGAAAGAGTTGAGGAAAGGTCTAAGCAGAGTTGGTCCGATTTGTTCCTTGGGACAGGTGATGGGTGGATTAGCATGTACCACGTGTGGTGCAACCGCTATAACATCCACTGGCCTTGGGAAGGGGAGCGGGAGAGGAGGAGGGGAGATGGAGGGGGCTAATTGAGTGGCAAGGGAAATTGTGTCACCTACAGCCTGTCACAAGAGGCGAATTACCCTGTCTGAAAGTCTAAACTGCATACATAGAGGAGGAATGTCACCCTATTCCAAGTGGTGCAGTTTTGACGGATTAAGTGCATTTTTTCCTGAAAAAAATTAGAAGAAGTAAACAAAACACTGAGACTTTCCTCTACGTGAAAAGTGCGCCAGCCAGCCTGGCATGCCTTGTCAGAGTTCTCGATCTCTTCCTCTCTCTCTCTCTCTTCGTAGTCAAACGTAACTGTTCACAAACGTGAAAAAAGTCATGAATAGTCGACCAGTGCTTTTATAAGCCATCTTACCAATTCCGGTTGCTTCATCATTTTGTTGCCCCCATTTTGGTATCATACTACTCAAACAACGTCTATTCTATACTTCATCCATTAATGTTTAATAAAAAACTTTTTAGGGCTTTTACTCATTCCTTATTTCCAGCTTTCCCACTCATTGGTGGAGGTGACACCTACCAACTTGACATGGGACAATGCGGGGCAAAGGGGACGGCTAAATGCCAATTTTAACTGAGGCAGAAAACGATTGGTCAGGTCAAGGTCATTTAGGCCTGGTGGCCATTTATTTATAATTGAAAAAACTATGAACTGTCAAGTGGAATGTTTAAAAAAATAATGAGGAGGAGATTCGAAATTGATCATTTGAACACATTTCTTACCAGAATGTTAAGTGGAAGCTGGTTGGAGGTGACCACTTTCACAAACGACAAAAATGTCAAAAGTGAGAATTGCTTCAAACCAAACACTTTTTGACTAAAACGCGATCACTAGAGTTGCTAAAACAACAAGGTGTCACCATATGTGGTTGAAAACGTATGTCACAGATATGAACATTATAGTAAGACTGAATACAAGTCAAGGTGTCAAGTAATCGTGACACCATGGAGACAAGTTGTCTGATGCAAACATCACCCACCAAAGCTTGCATTTGTGCCCGCCCACTCAATCACCCCGTCGCGCAGTCACAAATCGCTTCAGAGAAGTCCTTCCCATATCAAAATCAACGCCACATGTTTTCTTTTGGACAGTGATTGTAACCGAGGCGCTGTCTGTTTTAAATACAATTTTTAGTTAATAAAACAATGCTGCCACTTCATTCTCATCTCAGCTTTCTTAAAAAAAGCCGCTTCACTAAATGAACGCGTTCTTAACTAGTGATGCGGGGGCCAATTTTACTCTGACTTTTATTTGTTGGTTAAATTTCTTTGGCCATGAATTCGTCTTTTAGTAAGGCTCAAGGGAGTGCAATCTTTACTCTCGTGTCATTGTCTCTCCATTTGTTCCACAAGATCGTGGAAGTCCCTCCAAACATCGTGGTGTTGTAGCAATGGTGGAACCTGGATCTCATTGGGTCAAGACGGCTTCCGGCTGTATTTTCGCCATGGCTATAATCACCGGGCTGCACGATTTAAGGTCAAGATTGCTCTCCCCCTCAACGTAGATATTGCCTACTGACCTCGGAGCTATCACTAAGTCCCGTTGCATCTTGTGAGGGCAGAAGTGAAGGAAGGATTATGGGGAGCACAAGGAACTGCACTGAAAAGAGCCTTTCCACGATCACCGCTTGAATCCTCCAGTAGCACTTTAAATCAACGCCTCATTACGTCTTCAGAGTGTAGCAATGGAAGCCGCACTCCACTCCGAATGACGTGTTTCTCAAGTTTTATGACCAACCAAGCAGTTCATGAGACGCCTCCTAAATTGATTTGTGAAAAGGGGACAAGAGTGACCATAGTAAAAGGATCTATTTCGTTCGTTCAGCATCGGGAACCGGAGTCAAAAAAAAAGGAACAGGCAGCCAAAGAAGTTAGAAGCGGAACGGTACGAGTTATCTCACAATACAGTATTTTCAGCCATGAGGATGTCAATGGATGGGTACTCGGTGGATGGAAAGATGGATGGAAGTGATGCAAACTTTACTTTGTGCATCTCAGCAACAAAATGCAAGAGGACTTGAGGATTTTCTAGACGATATGCCTTTATGACTGCGTCATAGCGATTTGAGTTGTAATTTCGTTATTATTTTTGGTAGTGGTGCATTCTTCTCCACCATTACTGGTCCTGCTGTCGTTACTTTCCTGAACAAAAATTGTGGATTCATCATCGTCCACGACGTCTTCGGTGTCTTCGTCGTAAACTTGAGAGGTTCCTCGCATCGGTGATTGGTACAGTTCCGCCTCAGAACTCGTCTGAGTTGGGGGTTGAGCTGTACTGCTGGCGATAGTGGATGTAAGTGAAGGATCTCTTTCCATTAGAAGGTTTCCATGAAGAGCACGGACCAACTGTTCGGTTGTGTTCTGAAGGTAGAGAAGAATAGCAGTGTCAGAGTCGCCTTCGCCTCACAAACCGTCCTACAACACGATATCAAAAAGATATAAGTTACACGTTTTTTCATGGGTCTTTAAAAGGCTACTTCAAGACTGTCACGCCTTATAACGCCTGAAGGCATAATTTGAGAACCACAACTGAGCAGAAGAAGGCAAAGTGATCTCTCATGCTCCCGAACCTGCAGTGCCTACCTTCTGCCGCACCATCATGTCTCCATTTGCAGTTGCTGAAGCAGCAGCGGCAGCAGCAGTGCTGAAATTGTCCGCCGACGCACCAAACTTCTGTAGGTTCGGTTCTGACGCCCGACGACTTAGTGAGTCTGAACGACTTCGAAGGAGCGATGCTGTGAGGTTTGGCAGTTGAGTGGAGTATCCTTCACTGTCTGCAGCGGTGGCGGTGTCAGTGTTTGAAGGATGTAGGATAAGGGAGGAGGGAAAAATACCATTCTCATGAAGGTGATAGTAATTCTGAAACTGGGAGTAGAGCTGTGTCGCTGTGGTGGGAGTCGATGTGGAAGTGGAAGGCGCCTCTGAGGACCGACTCATAAGGGAATTGCTAGCCAGGAGGAGGCTGGAGGCAAGGATACTGTCATCACGGGTAAAGAGTCCTGTGTCGGAGTTCTTAAACAAGGAGATGCCGCCAGCCATTGGCCTGAAGTGGAAGAATAAAAAATACAGTAGGCGCTTTGAAAATATGCTCTAACCTCCATCCCTTGTTGGAAGCAGAGGCAACATCTTGTGGGATCCACTTGAAAGACTAGCTTAAAGACTGTAAGCGAAATCGTTTGCAATGCAAAATAGGGTAGTTGAAGCAAAAGCCTCTACGCAAGCCCCATCCTTCACATCGACCCTAGAATGTGCTGATTCATGAATATGGACTCCAACAAAACGTCTCAACAAAGCGAAACAGCTGGGTTAATTCAAACAAAGCTCACAGTCCCGCTGATGAAATTCACACACTCCAGCTTCCTCGTCTCGACTGCGTTTGTATGCAGTTGGATGGGGGAGAGGGTGGAAGGCAATTCCTTGCTTAAGGTCAGCAGTAGAAATACTAAGGCCCTCAACCATTGGCCTTCTTTGACGTCTGGATGCACCGTAATTAATGGCATACCAGTGGTTTTGTTTCACTTCAGCCAGTGACGTAAACTCAGTGTTTGCGACATACCTCCACCTCCTTGAAAGTGGTCCGCTGAACGTTTCAAGGAAAGCCTACTGTTGGTGAAAAGCTAAACCCTGAAAATGGCTAACTAGAACGATTGCAAATTTCCAGCCACTCTCCTGTGTATCATCGCCAATGGTTCACCTCGATTTTTTTATTGAGAAGAGTTGAGCAAATTACCCCTCCTCAACCACACATCATCCTCTTACCTCAGTCTCTCGGATCTGACATAGTGGGAGAGTATTTATCCCCAGGCGTAGTAGATTTAATAGTAATTTGCTTTAAAATCTCATTACAATGTAGCGGCTTCACCTGACGTCAGTTCTCACGATACCGACGATCTCTTGCTATTCACAGGAATCGATCTGCAGCTCTGTTGATGTCATAAGTGCCCCTCCCACTTTGCGACCTCAGAGGTGATCGACAAGACGCAATTTGAAAAGAGCCAACTTGTCCTCACTGTGACCTCATTACTTCACTTTGAACTTGGTGTTTATTTTCTCCAGAAAAATTCAAATACGATCCTCTTTCTACGTTTACATTAAGCAGGACTCTTTTAAAGGCATTTTTGCGCCCTCCGGACCACCGAAAAGGCCATGAATTCGCATTGTTGAGATGATGTTGACTCCACGACCGTCGATTACGCCGTTGCAGCACGTACCAACTTTCCCATGTGCGCCTATGGTCTACAGCCAATGGCATTACCGCCGCCAAGTCAAAGCAAAACCCACCACGACAGTCACAAATTGGGTGGGTAATGTTGTCTGTTACATCGTCTGTTTTGGATCGTGACTCAAGCCTAACCGTGCGGGAAGCGCGAGAACACATCAACTAGCTTACCAGTAAGACGCCAAGCCTATTTGTGAGGGGCGATGGGCCGACTGCCTTGCTCATTTTTATAAGCAGACGATAAAGCAGTGTGAGTGTTATGGGAGAGAATTCTACTTTCGCTTCCATGCCTTTACTTGAAGAAAATTATCAACTATCCACAACAACCAGTTTCCATAAAATTTAATAATACTTACTTTCACCATCTCCTCTTTTCATTATAAAAACAACTCTCAAATTCACATCTTCTTCTGAGTTGAAGTGGAGCACTTTCTTGTGCAACTCAAGTTATAAATAAGATGCTCATTAAAAAAGGAGCGGCATGTGTACACATTAGGGCTCTGACCAACAAATGGAATTTGAACTTTCTATCTCCTGGTACAGGAGTAGAGAACTACATGAGATTATGTTTGCAGGTTGGCTCATTCCTGTCCTTTTTTATTTTAGCATTACCAAAGTTCTGCTTCCAATTAATCCGTTCATTCAGTTAATTACATCGTCCTCAGTCCCCGAATATTTTGTCGCCTCTATCTGTGCTCTTAGTGCGTGATGATGCTCCGTTCTATTTAATCAAATCAGTCGAATTTTAGCAGTTTTCTTTGTGTGTGTGTGTGGGTATGCTGGCCCAAATTTAGGAGAAGCCCTGGGGATGACAGTAATAGCAGCAGCAGTACGCTGTTGTTTTTGTTTTTGTTCTTGTAGCTGGACTTGTTTACGTGTGTGTTGTTGTGTGCCCGAATACGCACCGGCGGTGTGCTGCGTGGGTGCGCGCTGAGTAATCATAGGAGCCTTACACCTCCGTTGAACAGGGCACTTTCCACAATCGGAGCCGAGTAGCGCACACAACAATTTGAAGCGACCCTAGAAGTCAGATCAGTTCCTACACAGACTCTAATAACGTTTATTTTGTTTATTCACAGAACCCAGAACCGAACGCGACCAGGAAGGGGACAAAATGCAAGTTTTGTGCGGTCATTTGCTCCATCAAAAAGATCCGAGTCACCATGATTAGGAGAGGTGTGGAAAGTGGTGCATACAATGGAGGAAGGATGGTGGATTTAAGTGTTAGTAGAGGTTAGGGGCTACCACGAATATTCTTGTAGGCCTGGTCAAACGGGTTAATACTCTGCCTTCAGTCTGCGAGGTGGGCGTCAAACCAACAAATTAGAACCATTCTATGGGACGTTTAGCTTCATTTTCAATGAAGGACGAAAATACACTTTTATCGGTAGGAAGAAAGTTGCGGTGAGGTGGAGGCCAAAGGGACCGAGTGTGGTGAACTCGACTAAAGCAGAATTTATGCTTTTACGATCCTATCAGCACGAAGTGTGACGCGTTTGCGATCGCATTGCAAACCCTCCGTCGCGGTCTTCCCATACCTCACGCTCAACCACTCACCACCCAACTGAAGTGAGTCGATGACAAGTTGTCGCTCACTTACACCTGCGAAAGTAACCTCAAACGCTCATCAATGCACAAGGAGTGGTGGATGGTGGTGCTCCCTCCACCCACACACCAGTGCCACCCTCATCACCCTTCCTCGAGGGTGATTGTTGTCCTCCATGGAGGGTTGACGGGACGTTGGATGCTGATCGGGCGGAGTAACTTGATGTTGGCACCGTGGTGGAGGGCTGCGCCTTACTCTCACGTGCACCACTCACCTGTGACCTTGTCATGGCATGCGTTGAGCACTGTGTCGAGGGGTGCACGTGACAGCATGCGAGTTGCCATGGTGAGTAGACGTGAAACGAGGGTGACTGCCTCCACTCCTCTCCAATCCTCAACACTGGAGGAGTGAC